AGAATAGAATAGAACAAGGAATAAGGAAAGAATAGAATAGAACAGAATAGAATAGAATAGAACAGAATAAGGAATAAGGAAAGAATAGAATGGAATGGAATGGAATGGAATAGAATAGAATAGAACTCTTTATTGGCCAAGTGTGATTGGACACACAAGGAATTTGTCTTGGTGCAAATGCTCTTATAAAAGAACATAAAGGATACATTTGTCAAGAGTCAAGAATCATCAGGTACAACACTTAATAATCGTCATAGGGTACAATAAGCAATCAAATCATACTAGGAAACAGTCAATATAGATCGTAAAGATACAAGCGACAAAGTTACAGTCATACAGGCACAAATGGGAGGGGATGGGTCATAAGGAGTGATGAGAAGATCAACAGTAATAGTAATGCAGACTTTGTAAATAGTTGAAAAGGGTTGAGGGAATTATATGTTTAGCAGAGTGATGGCTTTCGGGAAAAAACTGTTCTTGTGCCTAGTTGTTCTCGTGTGCAGTGCTCTATAGCATCATTTTGAGGGAAGGAGTTGAAACAGTTTATGTCCAGGATGTGAGGGGTCTGCAAAAATTTTCACAGCCCTCTTTTTGACTCGTGCAGTATACAGGTCCTCGATTGAAGGCAGGTTGGTAGCAATTGTTTTTTTCTGCAGTCCTAATTACTCTCTGAAGTATATAGATATAGAAGCATAGCCAGCCAAACGAATAGGCTGAAAAATAGCTTTTATCCGTGGGCTGTCAGACTTCTGAACTCAACATAAACACCACAATTAGGTTTAATACGATATACTTGCAGGGCCAATTTGCTAACATGATTAAGAGCTCCGCTTGACTTCTACTCTTGAGGCGCCTGGAGTAATTTTCTATCAGAAAAACCCAAATTATTTAAGGGCTAATCTCACTTCTTGGTTTCTTTCTTACCTAGTTAACTTTTAATGTTAAAAGTTTTTAACATTCTAATTGTTTCATGTTGTTGCTTTATGACGTTGTGAGCCACCCAGAATCACTCGACGGGGAGATAGGCAGGCATATCAATTTAATAAATAAAATAAAATAGCCCTTGTTCTTAATTGTCTAGAAAACGATAATCAAATGAGAGTTATATATTTGAAGAGAGTATTTCTTACAAGGCCAGGAGCCGGAGGGGAATCAAGAAAAAAGTGGGGGTTGCATTTCTCACATTCTGTTCCTGAGTTCGAGGCCAGGAGGCCAGGAACCTCATCTGTCCTTTCGATGTTTCAGACTACAACTCCCACAATTCCTTGCTGTGTGGTATCTGGAGTTGGTGCAACAAAAATCCAAATAGATTTGCAGCAGGAAAGCAGTTTGGCAGAGTTTCTCCTCGCCATTTTCATTTCAATTTCAATTTCAAGGGTGCTTTTTTTTTTTTTTCAGGAGGCACCTGGACATTTTTTCTTTTTTTTCTTTGAAGATGTTTTGCTTCTCATCCCAGAAGCTTCTTCAGCTCTGACAGGATAGTGGCGAATGCAAGGATTTATACTCCTTGTTAGACACAGCTGGCCATTTGCACCCTTTTAGAAAGTCGTTGAGGCCCCTTGGAGGTTTATCTGTGTTTTTAGGGTGACCGGAGTGGTGCTCCCGGTTCCTGCAGTCTGCAATTTTTCCTCTGGAAATCCGTTCCTACTCCCACCCCATTCCAAGGGTGTTCATCCCAAATTGTGCCGCTCAAAGTCTGTTGAGATTCACAGTCATTCAAGTCATGGTTGTCCCCAAAAGGTGCTTTTTTCAGGAGGCAACTGGACTTTGGTTTTTTTTCCTTTTCTTAAAAAAAAAAAAGGCACCCATGACCTGGATGACTGAGAATCTCTAGAGACTTCCATTAACTTAGTTTTTAATTCTTTTAAACAAATTTTCAATGGTTTTTTTTTTTTTTTGGCACTTTTTAACTTTCCGTTACTCTGTAAGCCACCCGGAATCGCTGCCCTAAGTGAGATGGGCGGCATAGAAATTTAATAAATAAATACATTTCCCAGATAAAAGCTTTTACAAGCCCCTATTATAAAGCAGAATGGGACAATTTGCTGCAGACCAACTCACTGCAGACGAATCCACATGGGATAACCCAATTTGATAAATGTTTCTTCGACATTATTTCCATTGAAAAAAATGGAAATAACGTCGAAGAAACAGGGGCAGGTAACGTTTATCACATTGAATTATCCTGCACGGAATTGTCCGTGGTGAGTTGTGTTAAGGCAATGAAGATTTAATAGGTGACCAGCTACTGTAAGGCCAAGCCAAGAAGATGAACTGAGGATGAGTCAGCAGGGTACTGCCGCTTTAAGAAGCTGTCTATAAAAAGGAAGCCATATGAGGGCCTCTCTTTCTCTCTCTCTCTCTTTCTCTCTCTTTCTCTCTCTCTCTCCTCGTGTTCTTTCTCCATTGTAGTTCTCCGTGCAGAGTAATGAAGATTGCTTGCTTGCCCAGTATGTGCCTAACACGTATATGTATGTATACAGCTGTTTTGTATATAAACCACTGTTAAAATACAAAGCCTCTGTGTGCTATATTGTGCTTTTGGGTTGTGCTGCAAACGCTCTGACAAGCTGGCAGCGGTGAGTTGGCCGCAAGGAGTTGTCCTAGACTCCCTGTGGAAATGGGGACTTTTCTTAAGGTTTCTTAAGGCAGGGAAGGAGAGTAACTTACAAGGCTTTCTAGGCGTTTTGCCACAATAGACGCAAACCGCCGCTCGCCAGCCAGTTCGGAGATGAGGAAAATGTACTCTGGAGCAGACACCTGGTTGGAACGGTGGGTGCGGCCTGGAAGGAAAAGGCAGATCGTGAACGGACCATCCCACATACAGATCAACAAGAATTGGAAGGGAACCTTATAGGCCATCTAGTCCAACCCCCTGCCCAAGCAGGAGACCCTACACCACTTCTGACAGACGGCAGTCCAATCTCTTCTTGAAAGCCTCCAGTGATGAAGCTCCCACAACTTCCGAGGGCAACTTCCGTTTCACGGGTTGATTGTTTTGCCTTAGTTCTAGGTTTTTTCTCTCCTTGATTAGTTTCCATCCATTGTTTCTTGTCCTGCTTTCCTGGTACTCTGGAGAATAAGTTGATCCCATCTTTCTTTGCGGTAGCCTCTTAAATATCGGAACACTGCTATCATGTCACCCCTAGTCCCTTTTCTCGCTAAATTAGATTTCCTACTTCTGGACATATTACAGGAGACACCAAAGCTGGCTTACCAAACTGCTGTATGGCTCGGTCAGCGCTCCAGGGCAATTCCAGCGTCATATGGACCCGCCGTTTCTGATTCTTTACCCGTCTGTCTGCTTGGAGAGAAATCCCTGAGCTGGAGGCCTCTGAGATTATTGCTACAAGCTAAGAGAGAGAGAGAGAGAACAGAGTCAATTTAGTCGGCTGGATTTTTGCAACCCGGCAGCCTCCTTAAGGTCTTCAAGCAAGTTGGCTCAACCCTTGCCCTGAGAGTTACGTTGGACAGGGGAAGGGTGCGTTTTCAAAAGGGAAGTGGAGTTGAATCGTTTTCAAAGATGATATGGAATAATTGCCGCTCAGGGAATGATCAGTCTGTGAGCTGCTATAATCCACCTGTTTGGTTCATTAAATGAACCCACCTTCTTCTTCATTGGTGCATTTTGGTCAGAAATGGGAAGGAACGTCGTAAACTGGGAAAACCCGTCAAAATTGCAGTCACGTCACTGCGGGATACTGCAAATGGCCTTCAATGTGAGCTATTTGCCAAGCACCCAAAAGGGAACCATGTAATTGGAGAGGAGGGGGGAGCCATCAGAACTCCAGAGGCAGGTCAAAAATAGCTCTAGGAAGGTCCAAGATTAACAATCAAGAAGTAAATAATATCCAACCGAGGAAGTGCCAAACAAGCTAACAGTAAACAGGCCAATGAAGGAACTGCCCAGGACCACTCCCACCAGAATATAAACTGAAAGCAAACCTCACTCCCTTACTAGCGCTGATGATGCTACCTAGCTGGGTCATGAAATGTTTGCAAAAACAACCACCACCAAGCTCAGAGACCAGCAAGGACCCCACGCCTCAATCCTGAGCTACAAATATTCTCTTCCATTGGTAAGATATAGATTTCCCTGATATAATGGACATTTGGACATTATTTTCACAATTTCTTTATGGACCTTCCCAATTGTAATGGTCATTGTCGCGCTTGCATGAAAATTAACTAACAACATTAACAGTTTATAAAACTGAATGTTGGATGGCAACTCATTTTCCATTGGGACAGGGGTTCAAAATGTAAAATGGGTTTGCGTTCAAATGCAAGCTTAACAAGTATTTCCATGCTCAAGAGTTGTGTTTTTTCAGTCTTGGCCACTTGAATTCCCAGCCAGGAAGTTGGAGCCCATTCATCTTAAAGAGATCCAAGTTGTGAAAGACTGACTTATGCAATATGAATGCATGTTTGGAAGGGCAAGACTGTTGATATTACGACATTGCACAAAAGAAATGTGCCAACCGACACGTTGTATTTTGGAAGATGGTTTTATGTTGATGTTTTATGCTTGTGTTTGTTAATGTTTGTCTTTAAAAAATAAAAAAAAACTTTAAAAAAAAAGGTTGAGAAAGACTAGGCAGCCCAAATGTCTGGCTTGGCAGCCATTGCTTCAATTGCTGTGATGTTTCATTTCCACCCTGAGCTATAAATATCGTCCTCTATTGGCTTCTTACGATCGCTGAGTGATCGGTCATTAAGTGGGGACTACCTGCGTTCAGCCTGTATGAACCCCCCAAGAGAAATCAGTGCTTCCTTGATCTTCTCCAGCCACTGGGAGCTCAACGTCAAAACACAGAAGGGTCCAATGTCTATCATGACTCTGGCAAGGTGGCGTCCCTCCCCATCCCATTCCTGGGCAGCCTACTCCCCGCACCCCATCCAGCACTCACTTTGTCTCCGTTCATGAAACGCTCCTTTTCCTTGAGGTTCACGTGGTCGATCGAAAGGCCTTGCTCAGCTCGCGATTCAAACACCACGGAGCCCCCGGGCCTCCGCACGACACGTCCCTTCCGACCGGTCATCTGTCCGAGAGGGAAAAGGGGACAGGTTGGAAGAGACAAAAGGGGACATGGGAGTGACTCTGCGTCAAGCCTGTTAGGAATAACATAGGTTACCTAACGTAGTTTGGGTAAAATAATATATATAAACTATGATGGTAAGTTTAAGTGTGTGTCACTTTAAACTGCAAAGCATGTAATTTTGGGTGCGGTGCTGAACCACCATAAGAGGGAGCAAGAGAACCTGACGATTTCCTGACAATTACTGGTTTGATGAATTGATGGTTTGTTAACTGCGTGTTTTCCCTACTGCTGAGTTGCTGAAGGAAGAGAGGAGTTTTTGACTTCTTCATATCTCTACTGCGAGGAGATATATTACTGGACTGATATTTGTAAGTTTACTGACCTCTCTTTTTCGACACTGGAATTTGCAACCGAATAATCCCCCAGACGGACTGAACTAGTGAATGATATATGGACTGTTTGACTATGCTAAAACTCTTACTGGAATAAACTATTTAACTAGCACGGTGTATCTGTTTTTACTGAGTGTAAGCTACAAAAACGTTTATCTCACGTATTTTGCCTGCCTGCCTGACTGCCGTGCAGATTCTTCTAGGGTGTATCCCTAACAAAGCCTTTGGAAGCCATATATTACTTAAGAAGCTTCGAGGCTGCCACATTTTAGTGCCTGGAAATTTGGGAGGGGGGATTTCAGGGAGAGGAGGAAGATTAGACAAAACAATGTTCTTTCTCAGAAAATCAAGGACAAGTTACCCTGCACCTGGAGGGGAGTGGCTGGAGGAATGTCTCCCGTTGGAACGATGGTTGATTGGACCGTGTGATGGATTTAATGGGTGCATGGCAACTAAGTCAGCCAATGAGAACTGTTTGGAAACTGAAACTAGAAGTAGCCTAGGCGTGGCTCTATATTAAGCTCTGCAGCTCTGAAGCTATGTTAAGCTTTGAGTCTGTCTATTGAAAATGAAATTGCTTCTCTCCTCTGCTGTGAAAGAGAAACTAGCTTGCCTGCTGAACTAAAATGAAACTAATGTCTGTTTCTGAGCTCCTGAGTTCTGCGCTAAACTTGTAACATGTATGTTTCTGTTTGAGTTGGCGTCATGTTGGAGAAATCTACAACTGGTTTGTAAAATTTACTTTATGTGTTTATAAAGAAGTTAAATGAAGCCTCAGCCATCTGGGTTTATTTTTCTGGCGCTGAATTTATGCTGCAAAACTCTGAACAGTTTATTGGTTTGGAGTTGGTGAGTTGGAAGGCTGACAGCGCGGCTGCTCTTTGATGGCACTGTGTAGTTTTGCTTACAGCTTTTATTTTGCTTTGAACGGTTAGCCTCCCAAAGCCACGTTACTTCAGATGGGCAAATCGTAGCTAATTAATAAATTAAACCTATTTTTATCTAATCTATCTCTCAGAAAAGCGTAGCTGGCCAGAGTCGCCCTGCAGAGGGTAGAATGGGACAACCTGCCACAGCCAATTTGCCATGGACAACTCATCGTGGCCAATGCCCTAGGGCAGGGGTTGCCAACCTTTTGGACCTCAGGGACCACCAAACTCATAATTGTAGATCCCAGGGACCACGAACCGGTTTTGTGGGCATGGCCTAATTTGTGGGTGTGGCTTGGTGGTCATGTGACTGGCTGGGCGTGGCTTGTATGTAAATATTATAAATATTTATATGAATATTGATTTTTTTTATTGAAAAAAAGAGCAACTTTTACCCAAAATCAGACAAAGCAGGCAGGCTCACAGAATCACAGATTCATTCAGAGATTAATTGCTTGGGGGGTGTGTGCTCTGGGGTTGAGATTTCTCTGCGGCCCACCAAAATTTTCTCATGGCCCACTGGTTGGAGACCGCTGCCCTAGGGGACAATTTGCCTTGGGACCATTCAGCAATTCCATTCAATTATTTAAAATGATTTTTAAAATGTATTTTAATTTTTGTCGTTCACATTTCATTTAGTCCCTCCTCTTGCTTCCTTTCTTTAATGATTCTATTTCACGATTTCTTTGACATTAGTGTAACTCTTGTTTCGTTGCAAGTTGTCCCACAGCAAGTTGGGTGCCTTATCTATCTCTGTATGAGTCTCTGCTCTCACACCTTCTCCCAGTTGATTTTACTGGGGTGGCTCTGCCAAAAGCTGAAATAGAGGAAAGCTTAACTTTAAATGGGGATGAACTGGTCACCAACCCTGGCAGGGCCAGTTATAGTATATAAATAACTTCTCACTAGCACGGATGATATAACCTAGTGGGGTCATGAAATGTCTGCAAGGAAACAACCAAGCTCAGAAGAACATCAAAGACCCCACAAAATAACCTCTCCCTCTTCTGGGAGTTGAAATCCGCAAGTCTTAAAGTGACCGACTTTGATGACCCCGGGCCTGTATTTTTGATTTACAAAGGCATAAGGGATTGCCTATATAATTATGCCTTTTATAAATCAAAGGTACAGGTCGGGGTCTTCAAAGTTGGCCACTTCAAGACTTGTGGACTTCAACTCCCAGAATTCCACAGCTGGCTGAGGAATTCTGGGAGCTGAAGTCCATAAGTCTCGAAGTGGAGACTGCTGGTATAGGCCACCCAAATGTGAATTGACTTTGTGGGGCACGGAAGACAAAATTATTTTGTGATGCTTCCCCTTTCTCTGGTCCCTAATGTTTTACCTCTGCTACTTTTTCCGGGCCTCCAAAGTAGTCGATCAGCTCGTCCAGAGTGTTAAGAGGCAGCTCTTTGCCCAAGTCCTTCACTTGAGACAGCAGTTCCTGCTTCATGTTCTCCACGCATTCTGGAGTCCCTGATCCATTCATCTCCTTTTGGGGGCTCAGCCAATATAGACCAACTGTAAAGGGGAGGAGAAAGAGATTGTAGCTTACATCAGTTGTACGATTATATTAGATTACATTAGGAATAGAATAGAATAGAATAGAATAGAATAGAATAGAATAGAATAACAGAATTGGAAGGGACCTTGGAGGTCTTCTAGTCCAACCCCCTGCTTAGGCAGGAACCTATACCACTTCAGACGAATGGTTGTCCAACATCTTAAAAACTCCCAGTGTTGGAGCATTCGCAATTTCTGGAAGCAAATTGTTCCACTGATTAATTGTTCTATCAGGAAATTCCTCCTTAGTTCTAAGTTGCTTCTCTCCTTGATTAGATTCCATCCTTATTGCTTGTCCTGCCTTCTGGTGCTTTGGAGCAGTGGTCCCCAACCTTTTTTGTGCCGCGGCCCGGTACCGGCATCACAAAAATCATCCGCGGCCCGGTATCGGCATCAGCACGCATGGCAAGGCGAGCCGAGCGACCGGCCAGCCAGCCGTCCCCCGCTTCTACCCGCCACCTTCAACTCCTCCTTTGTACCTGTGTCAATGGGCTTCGCGATGGCTTCGGGACGGTCGCTCAGCTCACCTTGCCATGTGTGCTGAAAGAATCCTCGCACCTTAGTTTTGTTCGAAGCCACCCCCCCCCCTCGATGAAACTAAGGCGTGAGGATTCTTTCAGCACCCAAACGCCGCTTTTTACCTGGAAAAGCTCACCGGAAGCACTTTTTCATCAAAACAAAATGGCGGCGCCCAGCAAAACGGCGGCCCGGTAGAAATTGTTCCACGGCCCGGTACCGGTCCAGGGACCGGTGGTTGGGGACCCCTGCTTTGGAGGATGGCTTGACTCTTCTTTGGGGCAGCCCCTGAGATAATGAAAGGCTGCTATCATGTCTCCCCTGGTCCTTCTTTTCATCAAACTAGACATACGCAATTCCTGCAACTGTTCTTCATATTCTTGAGATACTTAATTCCCCTTCCCCACCCCACTCCGGGTACTCAAGAATCCAATGCTACAGACATTTTCCCAAGGAAGTATGGATAGGCCTCGACTTATGACAATTGAGCCCCAAAATTTCTATTGCTAAGATAGTTGTTAAGTGAGTTTTGCCCCGTTTTCTTTCTTGCCACAGTTGCTAAGTGAACAACAGAGTCGTTCAGTGAATCTGGCTTCCCCGTTGACTTTGCTCGACCGCAGCACCGTTAAAATAATATTTATTGCATTGTTTTCCGGTGATAAATAGTTGAGGGGGGATGAACAATTTGAAACTATCTGAAGGAAGTCGATGAATTTGGGGGCCCCTGCCCTGGATAACATTCCAAACCTCCAATTCCACAGCTGCCCCCATTCACATGTGAAACTGGGGAACAATCATTCTGCCCTCCCTAGTAGAGATCTTCCCCGGATGTTTCCGGTTGGCAAGGAGGACAGGGCGCATCAGAACGAGGCCTACTGTTGTGGCCTGCCATCAGAGGGGAAGCGGCGTGGGAGTCAGGACCAGCCTCAAGGCAACCTGGAAGGTCTGAGGGGGAAGAGAGAATGGAGCTGTCAGACATAGAATCAGAGGCGGAGCCTGGGCCGCCCGTCAGCCCTCAGATGGTGAGTCAACAGCTCCCAGGTCTGGAGGTGGCTGATGAGGAAGAGGAGGAACAGCTGGGTCCTGTGCCTGACACGCGGATGTGCGCAAAGCAGAGGAGAGGAGGGGAAATCTATGGGCCGGTCCTTGGGATGGAAGAGCCACCTCTGCTAGTTAAGCCCAACTCTAGCTCTGGGGATAAAAGGCAGGGGGGGGGGAGAGAGAGAGGGAGGGAGGGAGGGCGGGAGGGAGAGAGAGACTGTCTCCTGGTCAGGGGTGGGATTCAAATTTTTAACAACTGGTCCTGTGGGCGTGGTTTAGGTGGTGGGTGTGGCTTGATGGTCACGTGACTGGGTGGACATGGGTTGGTGGTCATGTTATTGGGTGGGCGTGGCCAACTCAATATCGCTCACATCGAGGCACGCATCTCCTTGCCTGGCCTCTAGACTGTGGGGATGCTGCAACAGTCGTAAGTGTGAAAAACGGTCATGTCACTTTTTTCAGTGCCATTGTACCTTTGAATGGTCACTCCACACAAGCAAAGGAAAGGAGGGGGGAAAAACTCCAGAGAAGTTCCTGAGACAGGAAGTCCAATCCTGCCAAGAATGTAACAAGGGTTAACGGAGAGGCAACACCAGAATGGTAAGCAACACCAGAATGTTTCCTTCCTGTCTTCCTTACAGGATTAGGCCAGTAATTTCTTCTAACAACCGGCTCCCCGAACTGCTTAGAATGTTAACAACCGGTTCTAGCGAATAGGTGCAAACTGGTAGAATCCCACCCCTGGTCCTGGTGTGTTGGGCCAATTCAGGAGGAAAGGGAGCGAGCATCACTTTCCACAGGACTTAGAGACTTTGTAGCCTGCTGTGAGAGAGCGGCTAGCGGCGCTCCTTATAAAGGGACATTTTGTTAACTACAAAGGGCTTGTCGTGTTTGGGAGCCGGGTCAGAACACTTACTTGGATCGTTACACATGGCGCCATTGAAGGGTTTGTATCTGCTGGCCAAGTCCTCCATTTCCACGAGGGACTCCGGAGAGGAATTGAAATCGCTCTCCATACCCGGCTCAGAATCGGTGCTGCTCTCCGAGCTGATCTTGATGATGTCGTTGCTACTGCTGTAGTGGTCCTGGGTGGTTTTCATCACTTTGTTAAGGCCTCGGACTCTCTGCTTCACTGGAGGGGGAAAAAAAAATAACAGGATGGCAGAAGCATCGAAGGACCAATTCGATTCAGATTGGCGTTTCTCCACCTGAGCAACTTTTAAGACGGGTGGACTTCAACTCCCAGAACTCCCCAGTCAGCGCACTGAGCGAAGGATTCCGGGAGTTGAAGTCCACCCGTCTTGCTCACGTTGAGAAACGCTGCCTTGAGACAGATGCACAAGGAGGGTTTAGACACGGAGACAAGAAAACCTGCGCTTTGGCTGTGTCATTTTGGACAGGGTATGTATCAAGTCCACGAAGCTGCCGGTCAAAAGTTGGACGAGTGAGGATGGAAGAATTAGGATCTCAGAGGGTATACTTCTAATCCAACCCTGAGGTACTGGTTCTCGATCTGAAATTATTCATCAGGTTTATTTTTTCTTTCTGTTCAATCGTGCCTGATTCTCGGCTGCAGCTTTTTTGGGGGGAGGGATAAGCCCAAGGCCGCCCAGCTGGCTTTTCTGCCTAAGGTGGAACTAGAACTCACGGTCTCCTGGTGATTGGCTGAAAATCTCCCTGCTGGCTTTCATGCCTAAGACAGGACTAGAACTCACAGTCTCCAGGTGATTGGCTCAAAATCACACAACTGGATTTTGTACCTAAGGTGGAATGAGAAATTCTCTCTTGGTGATTCGCTGAAAATCTCCCAGCTGGCTTTTGTGCCTAAGGTGGAACTAGAACTCACGGTCTCCTGGTGATTGGCTGAAAATCTTCCTGCTGGCTTTCATGCCTAAGACAGGACTAGAACTCACAGTCTCCGGGTGATTGGCTCAAAATCAGACAACTGGCCTTCATGCCTAAGACAGGACTAGAACTCACAGTCTCCAGGTGATTGGCTCAAAATCACACAACTGGATTTTGTACCTAAGGTGGAATGAGAAATTCTCTCTTTGGTGATTCGCTGAAAATCTCCCAGCTGGCTTTTGTGCCTAAGGTGGGACTAGAACTCACGGATCCCCTGGTTTCTAACCTAATGCCTTAACCCCTCTACCAAACTGGCTCTCGCCTTTCTTACGGTGACGCATTTATGTTAATGCTGCTCCTTAGCTCTCTGTAGCATCTTGCCGCTGTGTGTACCAGAATTAAAGCAGTCCTCACTTACCAACCGCAACTGGGACCAGCAACTCCATCACTAATTGAAATGTCATGTGACTAGAGCCAACCTGCATCTATTCTGGCCGCAGTTGTTACGTTGTCATGGGACTGTGATCTGAGGCTTCCCACAGGCTTCCCCATTGACTTTGCTTGTCAGAAGCCAGCAGTGAGGATTTCAAAATGGACATCGTGGGATTATGATATGGCAACTGTCGTTGATGTGCGCTGGTTGCTAAGCACCCAAAGGACAGCCCCCCATGACCACGAGGATTCTGCCATAGTCACAAGTTCGAGGACCGATCATAAATCTACATTTTCAGCCCTGTCATAACGTTGAACGGTCACTGAACTAGGCAGTCGGTAAGCGAGCATTAAGGCAGCTGAAAAATGGAACAGCACAGTGCAAACACGTGGCCGATTCCCTCAAAGGCAACTCACTTGGGGGGACATTTATAACCAGGGAGGAGAGAAATCTGCCAATTATTGCTATAAGCTGAATGGAGGGGTTTTTTTTTTTTCACTTTCTTTTTTGGAAACATCCAAGGAAAACTAAAGAAATAAATAACAGGAAAAGGAACATTCAGACAGTGCGTCCAATCAGGACAGGAGAAAATGAGGCCCAAGCGATGCTTGGAGCCCCTGTCCATCTTGAGTGGGTTTTTATGATTATGAATTATTAATATACTTATGATTATTATGATTATGATTATATAATATACTAACAAATTATGATTATTAATATACTAACAAAAAAAAAATCTCCTTTGAGCCAAGTTGCTGGTGATATCACCGTGTCTATGTTGTTTTTAAGTCCTCAACTTATGACCATTCATTTATTTAGTGATCATTTGGAGTTAGGACGGTGCTGAAAAAAAAAAAGCAAATTATGACCAGTCCTCACACTTATGACTACTGCAGCATCCCCATGGTCACATTTTCAAAATTTGAACGCTTGTCAATCGGCACATATTTATAACGGTTGAGGCTCCAATTGTTCACCTTCCCAGCTGGTTAGTGACAATGGGGGGGGGAGCCGGATTCACTTAATGACTGCAGTGATTCACTTAACAACCACGGCAAAAAAAAAAGCATTATAAAATTGGTTGCAAACTCACTTAACTCACCTTCCTTAAGCAATGAGAATTCCGGTCCCATTTAATGTTGTAAGTCAAGGATTACCCCATAAGTTAGAAACTTTAGGAACACAATAGATTCTTCGCCCCTGGGTTAGGAGGAAAGGGGGCAGTACAGGCCAGGATTAAATGGGGAAACGTACCCGAAATGGCATGAATGTGAAAAGCACTGCAGACCTAAAACAAGCCCCAGGCCACAAATGAAAAGAATGGAACAGCTAGAAAATAAAAACAGTGAAAAGGAAAGAAAGCTTGGAAGTGCAAAATGGAGGGATGGGAAAATGGGGACAAGAATGTGGAGGGAAGAGAGGAGGATAAAAACTGCAGGGGCACCTCAGAAGGTACCTGAGATATCAGGGTTTTGTATAAAGGGGGAGGGAAGGAGGGAGGGAGGGAGTGGGGGAGGATAAGAAGGGCTCTTACGTTTTCTTTTAATGATACTTCCTCTTTCTCTTTTTCGTTTGGTTGAAGGAAAGTGCTTCCGAATTAGTGAAAGGAAGACGCCTCTGAAAGTTAAGAGGGGATATTTTATTCTAGCTGCCCAGGACACCAAACTGCTCACGTGAAAACGAACAGCGACAAAAAAAAAATAAAAAAGGGCACAGAGAAAATAAATAAATCAAAACTTAAAAACAGAATCAACCTAAAGGAAGCTCAGCGTTGCAAAGGAGAGACGGGTTTTTCAATTTTGCAAAAAGGAAAAAAAACCCAAACCCAGATCTGGAGTCTTGAACCTGCGTTTCTTTAGCCCAGGGATCCTCAAATTTGGCAATTTTAAGACTTGTTGGACTTCAACTCCCAGAATTCTCCAGCCTTCTGGGAGTTGAAGTCCAACAAGTCTTAAAGTTGCCAAATTTGGAGACCTCTGATTTAGCCGCGCTAAAATTGCTAGCAATTACTGTTTCAAAATAAGGGTGCATTTGTATTTGCAATGCCGCCTACGATATATAGGCATTGTGGGGTCATTGGTGCTCTCTGAGCATAGTTGTTTTCTTGCAGACTTTTTCATTACCTAACTAGGTAATGTAATCAGTGCTGGAAGAGAATGGGGTTTCCTCTTTTATATACTAGTGGCTTGCCCTGCCGGTGCGAGTGGAAGTGGAAGTGGCACTTTCTTGCTTGGACATTTCTTTACTGTTCGTTTGTCTGAGTTGCTGATGGCAAGCCACTGTATACAAACAGAGAGCAAACCCCACTCCCTGCTAGCACTGATGGTGTTCGCCTAGCTGGGTCGTGAAATGTCTGCAAAACAAACAAACAAACCCAACAAACCCCAAGCTCAGGGAGCAGGAATGATCCCATAGTTCAATCCTGAGCTACAAATATTTTCTTCCGTTGGTAAAATATAGACTTTTCCTGGTATAATGGTCATTTGGACATTATTCCCCAAATTGCAGAGGTGGGTATTCAGCAGGTTCTGACCAGTTCTGGGGAACCAATAGCGGAAATTTTGAGTAGTTCAGAGAACCGGCCAATCCCACCTCTGACTGGCCCCACCCCCATCTCTTCTCCGCCTCCCATTGAGTCCCAGCTGATTGGCTGGGTCTCCTTTGGTTGCCCTGCACAGGAGAACGGAGCTGGAAAGCAGGTTAGTGGGGTGGGGAAGGAATGGAGATTTTATAGTATCCTTCCCCTGCCATGCCGACCAAGCCATGCCACTAAACCAAGCCACGCCCACAGAACCACCCACCACTGCCCAATTGTAACGGTCAACATTGCCCTGCCATGAACAGTATACCAGGAAAATCTATTATTTTACAAATAGAAGATAATTTTTGTAGCTCCAGATTGTACTGTGGGGTCCTTGGTGCTCTCTTGGGGTTTGTTGTTGTTTTTGCAGACCTTTCATTACCCAACTAAATACCGCCATCAGTGCTAGAAGGGAGTGGGCTTTCCTCTTTTATATACTAGTGCAGGGCTGTCAAACTCAAGGCCCATGGGCCCAATCCGGCCTGTGGGGTGGTTAAATTTAGTCGGTGAGGCCGGCCTGGATATATCAAAGGACCGGCCCGCAGTGCCTCTTCTAGCCAAAACGGGCCAAGTGAGGCTCCTGCGCAGCCCATTTTCAGCCTCCATGGCTTCCTGAGGCACTCTGGTGGCAGAAAATGGGCCACACGTGGGCCGTGAGCCCGCCCCGCCCCCTGCTTTCCCCAGCAGGGGGCTGAAGGAGGCGTCCATCCCATCTCCCTCAACCTCTCTGCCTCCCCCCACAGCCCATGGAGAAGAACTACAATGCTGATTCAGCCCTCGGAGAAATCCAGTTTGACACTCTGATATAGGACTGCGATGGCGAACCTATGGCACGCGTGTCACAGGTGGCGCACGGAGTCATAGGTGTGGGCACGCGAGCCCCAGCCAAACTTACCTGCACTGCACATGCGCACCTCCCAGCTGATTTTCGGCCGGTTTGAGGCCGTTTTCCCCCTCCCGGAGGCTCGAAGGAAGCCTCTGCAGTCTCGGGAGGCTGAAAAACAGGCCTTCTGGAAATACCGGAAGTGCCAAAGTGTTTCCAGCTTCCCGAGGCTCCAGAGGCTTCCCTCAAGCGTCTAGGAGCGTGAAAATGGCCTCCCCCAGGCCCCAGAGGGCTTCCAGAGTCTGAAAACAGGCAATTCTGATTATTTCCAGAAGGCCCGTTTTTTTTGGCTTCCCGGGGCTGCAGAGGCTTCCCTTGAGCCTCTGGGAGGGCGAAAACAGCCTCAAAGGGGCCGAAAAAATCAGTTGGGAGGCACTCGCATGCGCTGTGCAGATAAGGGGGTGGGGCAGGGGTGTTGCGCACGCATGTGCAAGGGGGGGGGGCAGGGGGCATTGCATTGTGGGTACTGGCACGCACGCACTTTCAGCACACCGCAACCAAAAGGTTTGCCATCCCCGGTATAGGAGAACCCTGGAAAGGGTTGTTTTGAGGCAGGGAAGGTATGGGAGGTGTTGGGACTCACATGGTAAGGCCTTTCACAAGCAAGCAGTTGATGAGAAGGACGGACAGTGACATGTCACCTCTTTCAAATTAGGCAACCTTATGCTTTGTCCTTCTTGCTTAGGCTACAGGCTAAACAGGGGTCTTCACAAGGCCAGGTAGGAAAAGACTAAACAATGCAAAAGCGGGGTGGGGGGTGGGGGAAGAGGTTTGTGGTGGGATGGACTCAAATGTTGATGACAGAGCTTTGAGAGGTGGGGGGGAAGGCACCCGAGAGGTCTCCCATCTTCACCCCTCTCTCTCCCAAATGCACGGTAGGTCACGGAGAAAGCATGAGCGCACACACACACTCGGATGGCCGAAAGGGAGAGAAAAAAAAACAAAACACCAAAATGAGGTGGCTGTGGGAATGGCGTTGTCAACTGAAAAGATACTCCTTTTTTTAGCAGAAAAAGGGAGGGGGGGGAACAGTACATTCCTTAAATTCCTCAGATAATCGCCTTGGCAGCCCAAAGCTGTCGGCACGCAAGATTATTACTGGAGAGCATGATGGATGACTCTTGGCTATGGATGTGTCCCTTTGGAGGATATACATCCAGGGGGTGGGGAGGGGGGAAGACCAGGGTCAAGGGGGAAATGAATGATGTAATTTAGTATCGGCTGCACCCGCTAACACCAACATGGCCACTTCTAATAAACCAGTTTTCTTTTCTCTGAGATGCGGCTAGAGACTTCTGATTTGAATGGGGGTGGATTTGTTGGAGCCCTGACAGGCGTGGCCTGAGCTTGGCGGCTTGTTTCAGATAGAAGAGGCAGTGAATCTTGAGGGCAGCCAATTGGCCGTATTTCCACGGGTGCCAATAAGAGACCAAAAGGAAGGGGAAGCTTCTTTTGAGAATTGCCAATGATGGGATGAATGGAGGCACCGGGTTTCTTAAAGGCCGCAGGAAGGGTCAAGTTCAGAGGTGCCTGCCTTGATCAGAAGGCAACGAAGCAGTGACCTCTGGGGGCTCTCTCCATGCTGCCTGAGGGATTTGGGGGGGGGGGTTGTAGCCCCCAACACCTTGGGCAGGGACCGTGGTAGGGTTTACGAAACATGCACCCTCCCAACGGAAAACTCACTCGGCTGCCGACACGAAGCAGTTCAGGTGCCCCTCGTTCTCATCCAGAACTTCCCGGGTGCGCGCTTCTCCCGTCGACTGCAACCCGATCACCACGCACTGCGGAAGGCAAGCCGGGCAGAAAGGAAAACCAAGGATGGGCGGCATGTGGGAAAAGAACGAACGTCAAGATGTGGAACAGGCTGGCTGAGAAAACTCAGGGATTGAAAGCGGTGGAGGAAGAATGGGGGACGGGGTGGAGAAGGGGAAGGAGGTATAGGAGAGAAGGGGAGGGAGAGGAGAGGGGGAAGGGGAAGGAGGAAAAGGAGGAGGGGGAGGAAGGGGGAGGAGGAGGAGGAAATGAGAAGGAAAAGGACAGGGAGAAGGAGAAGGAAGGAGGAAGAGGGAGAGAAAGAGGAGGAAAAGGAGAAGGAAGAGAAGGAGGGGGAGGGAGGGAAAGAGAAGGAGAAGGAGAAAGAAAAGGAGGAAGAAGAGGAGGAGGAGAAGGGAGGGAGGGAAAGAGAAGGAGGAGGAAAAGGAGGAGGAAGAAGAGAAGGAGGAAGAGAGGAGGAAGAGGAGGAGGAGGAGGAAGGGGGAAAGAAGAATGAGAAGAGGAGAAAGAAGAGGAAGAGGAGAAGGAGAAGAGGAAGAGGAGGAAGAGGAGGAGGGAGGGAAAGAGAATGAGAAGCAGAAAGAAGAGGAGGAAGAGGAGGAGGAGGAAGAGAGGGGAAGGAGGAGGGAGGGAGGGAAAGAGGAGGAGGAGGACAAGGAGGAGGAAGAAGAGAAGGAGGAAGAGAGGAGGAAGAGGAGGAGGAAAGAAGAATGAGAAGGAAAGAGGAGGAAGAAGAAGAGGAGGAGGAGAAGAGGAAGAGGAGGAGGGAGGGAAAGAGAAGGAGGAGGAAGAAGAGAAGGAGAAATAGAGGAGGAAGAGGAGGAGGAGGAGGAGGAGGAAGGGGGGAAGAAGAATGAGAAGGAAAGAGGAAGAGGAGGAGGAAGAGGAGGAGGGAGGGAGGGAAAGAGAATGAGAAGGAAAAAGAGGAGGAGGAACAGGGAGGGAGGGAGGGAAAGGAGACTATTTGAAGAGTTCATTCAGAGAATCACCAGACTGCAAAAGCAAATCTGCTTCACGTCCTTCTCGCTCACATTCGTGAGCGATCAGGGGCAGAACTCAGGGAAAGGACGGGCTCCATGTCCTCCTTCCTCACCTTGCCCTTGCTCAGCTCCTCCTGGGCCAGCTCCACCAGACGCCGGACTTTGGCCGCAATGCAGAGGTACTTGAAGAAGCGCTGGTGAGCTCCCCAGAACTGACCCCACAGAGACTTCCGGGACTCCAGGCCAATGAGGTCGGCAGCCTTTTGGAAAACCACCAGGGCTTTTGCCCACTGCCGACCGGGGGGAGGAGGAAGAAAAAAAAAAGGGTGTTTTATTTATTTATATGTATTTACTTGATTTGTCAATCGCTTACAAGATAATAGGTACAGGTACCGTGTTTCTCATATAATAAGGCAGGGTCTTTTTTTTTTTGAGCCCCCCCCCAAAAACGGCTAGGCTGTCTTTTCGGGGGTGACTTAATTCCCCCCCCCTTACATCCTTGGGCGGGCGGGCAGGCAGGCATCGTTGGCTTGGATGTCAGCCTCGACGGGGCACTTTGTCTAGGGAGAACTTCTGCCGCCGTTGCTTTCCCTTCCGCCCGTGCTGCCGCAGCATTTGGATAGTCGCCGTGTTTGGCGCAACCACGCGGGGCCAGTCGGGGCTCCTCCCTGCGACCAGGGCGGGGGAGGTTTTGTTGTAGTAGGGCGTCGTTTTTAAAAGAAGGGGCTTTGCTTTCGAACGATGCCCGGGAAGGCGGCGACAGGAGCGCCTAAAGCGGAGTATCTCCGGTGGGGCTTCGGTTGCAGGGAGGAGTCCCGGCCGGCTCCGCGTGGCTGCATCAAACGCCACTGTGACGCTCCAAACGCCGGGGTGTCATGGGCAGAAGTTGAAGCGACGGCAGCGGAAGGTCTCCCGATACGAAGTGACCTACCAATGCCGGGTGACCATCCACGCCGACAACGCCCGCCTGCGGACCCGGCCTGCAGGCAGCACCATAACCGGGGGTCTGCAGCAAAAGTACTTGGCGAGAGTAGGGAGGTTGGTGGCGAAACATGGTGGCCGCCTGGGGGGGCGCTCCTAACGCCAAGCCCTCCCCCACCCTTCCCCCCATTTCGCATGTTTTAAAATAGGCCTAATTTTGGGGGGGAGGGGCTTAATTTCATTTTATGCCTATAAAACATGCTGGGACTTCCTATTGGGGGAGGCTGTATTGTTGGAGAAACATGGTATAAATATGAGTGAGAATACAGGAGATAGGTACGAATAAATGGGGACAATAGGACAGGGACGGGAGGCACGATGGTGCGCTTATGCACGCCCCTGACAGACCTCTTAGGAATGGGGTGAGGTCAATAGTGGATAGTTTGAGGTTAAAGGAGTGGGGGGCTAGAGGATGTGACAACAGAGTCAGGTAGTGCATTCCAGGCACTGAGCACTCTGTGGCTGAAGTCGTACTTTCTGCAATCGAGTTTGGAGCGGTTTACATTGAGTTTGTATCTGTTGTGTGCTCTTGTGTTGTTGTGGTTGAAGCTGAAGTAATCATTGACGGGTAGGACATTGTGGCAGATAATTTTGTGTGCTACACTGTAGGAGGAGGAGTTCAAGGTTGTCCAAGCCCAAATTCTCAAACCTGGTGATCTAGGGCATTCTGTTGTGTACTCTTCTTGTGAAATACTTCTGGACTCGCTCGATTGTATTAATGTCCGATATGCAGTGTGGATTCCAGACTGATGAGCGGAATTTAGCAGTTATAATAGCATTTTCAGGAGTTCATTTAGTACAAGGGTCTCCAACCGTGGCAACTTTAAGCCGCTAGTGGACTTCAACTCCCAGAATTCCACAGCCAGCTTTACAACTTTTTTGCCGGGCTTAAAGTTCCCAAGATTGGAGAGCCCTGATTTAGTATGAGTTTATATCAAACCCTGTGAGAGGGGAGGGACTGGCCCAAAGTCAGCCAATAAGCTTCTGTGGTTGGGGAGGGATTAGAACCTGGGCCCTCCCACTCCTAATCCATCTTTTTGCTCTAGATATCTGATTGGCTCTTGAGCTGAGAGGGAGGCACTAGCCCAAAATCAGCCAATGAGTTTGACGGGGAGGCCCAAGGATCTGGACCTTTCCTCTCCTTCCTCACTCTATTGGCTAAGAGGGAGGGACTGGCCCAAAATCAGCCAATGAGGTTCTGTAGCTGAGGAGGGATTAAAACCTGGGTCCTCCCACTCTTAATCCGTCTTTTCATTATTTATTTTATTAGCCCCTGGTTTAAGCTGGCTGGGGAATTCTGGGAGTTGAAGTCCTCCAGGCTTAAAGTTGCCAAGGTTGGAGGCCCCTGCTCTGCAGAGACTCAAGGGGAAAGCAAGGCCGGAGGATTTGACCAACCACATGAGCTAGAACAGTACTGGCAGATTCTTCTACACTCTACTGCTGAAAAACTGCAATATGTCTCGAATATCTTTATATGGAAACAGGAAGATAATTGTAATTTGGAAGCCTTCCAATCTGCCTCCAGCTTAAAATACCACAACACCTGACCTAATCTAGCATCATCACTTTGAGCAGCAAGAAGACAAAAGTCTCTTGTAAGCCTGAGAACCAGGAGGACGCTACCTGAGAAAATAAAGTACCTGCAGCTACCTGGATTTTGTGGAATTACAACTCCCAGCATTCCCAGTTACTAACCATTGTTAGGAATATAAGAAATATATAAACCAGGATAAACATTTTAAAACTGTATCTTTAAGAAAATGCAAAACTGTAATTGGGTGTGGTTTCTCAAACGGCCATAAGATGGAGCCAGAAACCTGGGTTGTTTAGTCTTAGTCTCAGAAGAGAGTGTTGAGTGAGTTTCTGTTTCCTTCTGTTAGAAAGTATTGCTGTTCCTCATAATTGACTGGTATTCCTGGATTTGAAGCAAGTCTGATACTGAACTGTTTTTGACACTGGAATTTGTTATTGGATTATCCCTGGATGGAAACTGACTGATCTTACCTGTGAATGACTTTGGACTGTTTGTTTTTGAACTTTGCTTAAATCTTTCTGGAAGTAAAAACCTACATTTACTGTAGAGTGTATCTGTGTGCTGTGTGTGTATTATTCAAACACTACTCTCAAATACGTCTCCCTGTATGCGCTCATTCTCCTAACGGGGAATTACCTCAACAACCATGTTAGCTGCATTGTTGGTTGTTGTTGTTGTTTAACAATATTGAGTTCCCCTATCCCTGGGCTAAACAGAGAATTGAATGATTTGCTACAGGTTAGATATTTATATTTTGGACTGTTTATGTACCATCGCGGTGGCCTAGAGGTGGAGCTCTCGCCTCACAACCAGGAGACTGTGAGTTCGATCCTAGGTAGAGGCAGATATTTCTCTCTCTAGGTACACTGAGAATATATCTGCTGCAAAAACTCCGCATTGGCGACAGGAAGAGCATCTGGCCAGTAAACACTCAGCTCCGTTCAATTGATCAGACTCCACCAGGCAAGGGATTATGGGGTTGTTAAAAGAGGAGGAGGAGGAGGAGGAGGATGTACCATCAAGTTGTTTTCGACTCCTTAGCAACCACTGATAGATTTTCTCCAGGGCGATCTAGTCCTAACCTCTTCTCTCAAGTCTCCCACTGGTGAAACCTGTCACCATGGTAACTGAGTCCCTCCCCTTGCTACTGGTCATCCTCTTCCCTTTCCCCCCCTTCCCAGCATGATGGACTTCTCTATAGAGAGCTGGGTCTTTGCAAGGTTCATTCGCATATTATGCACGTGAGGTCACAGGCTTCTGTTTTACCCTACAGAAATCAGCTGGCCAGAGTCCAGGTGGCTCTAGCAAGCGAGCCCAGCTATATCACACAGCCCCAAAGCATAAAAGCTTACCAGCTTCGCTGCCTTGTTGTACACGTCCTTATATGCCGCGTCCAGTGGGATTTCTTCTATCCGGAACGTGACTCCAGAAAAGCTGAGCTGTCGAGCGATGTACATCCCATTCACTTTCATATCCATGGCAACGATTTCCATAGCCCCAACACCTCTGCGGAGGAGGAAGACAAGAGATACAGATGACCTTTGGGGCTGCGGATTTTCCATCACCACCACAAAACTGTTCGTTCATTCATTCATTCATTCATTCATTCATTCATTCATTATTCGTATTTATAAGCCCCCTTTTTTTTCTTCAAAAGAAGATAATCAAATCGGAATAAACACTACAAGCAGAGTTTCGGGATAGAGAGTGATGTCAATGTTTGTTATTAAAAAAAAAAGGTACATCGAGAGGTGTGTTGGAAAAACTCCCACGCCTGTCAAAAGGCCAGACACACACAAGTCAAAACAGACCGAACCAAGATAAGGCCGCACAAACAATTACAAACAGCTTTTGTGGCCTGTTCAAATGCTGGTGGAGATAGGTGAAGTTTAGGTCAAAATAATATCCTTGTCCAGGTTGAAAAGAGAACTTGGGTCAGCTTTAGCATTCAAATCTAAAACAAAAAAAAATGTCAGGTGGAAGATGTAGTTTGGGTTTATTTTTAATGTCCCAGAGCAGAGGTCTCCAAACATAGCAACTTTAAGGACTTCTGGACTTCAATTCTCAGAATTCCTCAACCAGCTAAACTTGGTTGAGGAATTCTGGGAGTTGAAGTCCACAAGACTTAGAGTTGCCAAGTTTGAGGACCCCCCCTGCTCCAGAGGCATTGACCTACAAAGGAGGCCATTCTGGCCAAACATCAAGAGGAGCTGTTGGCCAGTGGAACAGGCTGCCTCATGAACTCAGGGACTTCTCCTTCACTAGAGGTCTTGAAATAGAGGAAGTGTGTGTGTGTGTATTTGTGTGTGTGTGTGTGTGTGTGATCTGCCAGAGATGCTCCAGGAGATCCTGCACTGAACAAGGGGGTTGAACTAGAGGAACCCTTCCCCCTTCCAACTCTGGGGTTGTGTGATCCCCAGATGGGGCTTTACCTCTTTTCAATGGCATGGAGGAAGTCCTCAAAGGAGCGAAAGGGGGTGCCTTCTCCCCAGATCCCCAGCCGACTCATGTAAATCATATTCTTTGGCTCAGAGGCACCTGCCGAAGAAGAAAACAGGAGACGGGATTGTTAGATGCATTGTTTCAGTGGACCAGTCCATCTTTCTCTGCTCCATCCATCCATCCATCCCCTCTCCTCTCTGCCTCCCAGTATTTTTCAATCTTGGCAACTGTGTGGACATCCTTTCTACCTAATCTCATGCTAACTGAGGAATTCTGGAAGTTGGATCCGCAAAAAGTTGCTGAGTTTAAGAAACTCCTCTCCTCTCGTCTGCATCTGCCTACCTCTATCATCTACTTATCTGCATCTATAATCTATTCTATTTCTATTCTATCATTCTGTTCTGTATTTCTATTCTATCATCTATGTATCTATCTATCCATCCATCTTACTATATATCAATCTTACTATCTATCCTACTATCTAACTTACTATCTATCTATTCATCCATCCATCCATCCATCCACCAATTTTACTATCTATCTATCTATCTATCTATCTATCTATCTATCTATCTATCTATCTATCTATCTATCTCTTACTATCTATCTATCTATCTATCTATCTATCTATCTCTATCCTATCTCATCTATCTATCTATCTATCTATCTATCTATCTATCTATCTATCTATC